GCCTATTTTAACCCCCTAAAATGCTGACCCACTGCACTGCAAATGCATACATTGGCAGTTGTCTGTCTAACGCTTAAACAATGGTTAGACGTTTAACATATTTTAACTAAAATACCCGATTTCAGTGGACTGACCTGTTGGACATATTTAGTTACTGTAGACCAGAATACTTCAACGGGCATCCAATCTGCAACTGTCAGATAACCAAGATAAACATGTCTGCTATGTTATGACAGATCCACATTAATCTGCACAAGCAGTGACATCAAATTACCACCCTGTATATGTATATACTTACCAACTGTCTGCACAGATTGGATGTAATTGTACGTTCTGTGCCTGGACTGAGTAACCAGATGAGCTGGACATCTGTCAGTAGAGTTACTGGATGACCAGTGCGTAAACTGACAGGGATCAATTGACAAATGGATAATTGTAACCGTCTACAGTACGTAACACAGTTTTAACCTGAGCATTTCTGACTGGTGCGGTTTAAACACACCAGCCAGGGGTGGACTGACAACTCATGGGGTCCCCCGGGCAACAGGGGATCATGGGGCCCCTGTGTCCTTGCCCACACTCAGAAAAGCCTATGAAAAAGGTACCAGGGGCATCTCATGGGGCCCCCTACTGACCCTGGGCCCCCGGGCAGTGCCCGAGTTTCCAAATGGTCAGTCCCCCCTGACACCAGCAAATCTACTGGGATAGAAGGACGGAGATAAAACATGCAATGATAGGTTGTAGCAAATTCTAAGATCATACTAATCAGAAATTGCCATTAATGAACACCAGTCATGAATGATAGATGTGGGCTGCAGCTGCTGACCTTTCCTGAAAATGGTAGTTGGATATAGTCATGAGTTACTGACCTAAAATAAGAATGTGGCAAAAAAGGACAGTTTTCTTATAATGCATACTGTACTGTACTTCCATGACCCCAGCATGAAAAGTATAGGATCAGCCATGACATGTGGCAGCTAGCATTTTTTGAAAGGAGCTCAACAGTTGTGATCCATATATTTTTCCTGGGGTGGGTTGGAAAAACCATCTGCTGGATGAGGATTCTGTAGAACAGTGGGGATATAAATGCACATACTTTTTTTTTTTTTTTTTTTAACAGCTAAACATGCATGGTTATGTCAGGACCTTTTTTTAGCTAAGCATGCATGTTAATGTGCTGAGCAGACATCTGCAGTGCTGGCTTTATTTTCAAGGAACATTTGGTCTGAAAACTATCCTTCTGCTTTTGAGTTTGGATGGGCAAGAGGTGTCTGAGGAGGTGGTAAACTAACTGATCGTTTATTAATCCGACCAATATTTTGTAGACTGCGTGACAATCACCTCCTATCTACAAATATCAGACTAAACTAAAACCTGGATCTCCAATTGCATTATACATTTTAAGTATAACTCTCATTTCTGTATTAACTAGCCATACTAGATAACCACAATGTAATTTCAGAAGGGCAAACCTTTTCAAACTGTGAAAAAAAGTTTATTGTTTGGGGCCGAATGGTTTTAAAAGGCACATAAGAAAAAAAAAGAACCGTGAACATTCAGTCCTCCTCGCCCTTACATAGCTGGTATGAACCAGGAAACAAATGCTCTTATCCCATAATGCACAATAAGTGTTCTCATTTTACTCTATGCTTGTCCCCATTGCAAGGACTGGAGGTAAAAGAGATAAGTGTTATATGTAAGGTTTCTTTGGATATTTAATTTATAGCAATAGTCTTAACTTGTACCCTGGCCAAAAGTGAAGTTACCTGATGAGATCCTGGGAAAGTTGAGGATCCAATATTTTAGAAGTAGATATGACTGCACAGTGCAAGAGCATCTTCATGGGAGATTTGGGCTTCTTAGATTTTCCAGGATCTTGCTGTAAAAGACGTATGACTTCACCCTCAACTAGGTACTGGGGTGTGCAGTAAGTGTATTTTATACTTTCTTTCTCCTGGTTTTATTTTTTGGAACTCTTAATGCAGGGGTCTCCAAACTTTCTAAACAATGGACCAGTTTATTGTCCTTCAGACATTAAGAGGGCTGAACTGTGGCCAGCTGGAGTGGAAATTTTCCTTGCATCACTAAACATCTCCACATAGGCACAACATGGTATCATTGGGAGAAATAGTGCCCCAATGTTGGCGTCAGTTGGAGAAATGGTGCCCCATTGTTGTCAGTTGGAAGAATAGTGTTTCCTATCAGTGGGTGGAATAGTGCCCCAAGGGCCAGATAAAGGCATGCAAGGGGCCGCAGTTTGAGGACCACTGTCTTAATGTCTTGTTTATACATTGGACCAATGGACTAAAGAATAAGCAGAGCTCACATTTTGATGCAAGGTCCGCATTAATGAAAACACAAAAGTATCTTTAATGATACCAAAAGGATTTGGTTTGAAAATAGTGGGAAATTGAGCCCACATACATGTCTATGCAAGGATACAATAATAATAATGCCTTTTTCTGTTAGCTAGCAGCTAATCAGAAAAAAAATTGGTTCTGACATTTGAAGAGACCAATAGCAAAAAATGCGTAATGGATGTGTTGCCTATATTAATGGTAGCTGTGAAACACTAAGCTTCTCTGGCTCTGCAGCCTCCTCATTAGGTGGATACCCTCCAAATGATGCTGTATATGAAGATATTTGTACATGCAGAACACAATAATAGAGCAAATATCCGCACAGCACTTGTGTACTGAATATAATGCAAGATATTAGTTTATTTCTATTAGTCCTTAGTACCTATACTAATAAATTTCAGCATTTTATACTAAAATATTACATAGCACATATGAAATGAATACACCTTTCCTCCAAGACCTGTCCACCAGACTTAGTGCTATCTGACTGGCTGTGAGTCAAAGCCTTTGTGACATTCAATTTGCAGAGCATGCTGGGATATTTATTCAAGAAGGAGTGGGTTGGAAACACCAGATCCAAAGTGATCCCTAAGATCACTGGTGAAATGTGAAAAGCCTCTGGAGGGGAGCTTCAGGCAACATTCAGGAGATTTAGGAGAGAGAGTACCACACCAATGGTTTAGAGTCTGAATAATTTTTTTTTTAATAAATCCATTGCGTTTGAGGGGGTTCTAATGGATGTTCTTTATCAGTACTATGGGTTAAATGTGTATCCCTAAAAAGGCAGGTTTCAACAGATGATCCAAGGAGTCTAGGCAACAAATGGGTAATTGTGACAAGATGTGGGCTAACAGTCAATCATTGTTAGAAACAACGTTTTCTGTAATATCTATTGCCATGTTCCTAGCTAATTACAGGCCATTTTTTCCGAACAAGAAGGAGGTCTAGGATGGTTAAAAAGAGTTTTGGAAACCCTCAGTAGATATCCCATTACATCCATAAACACTAAATCCACCTTAATGTTAATTTCTTCCATTAACTTCAAAGGCATCGTGCTCTGAAATTCATCACCATAAAAAGATTTCATTAAAATTTCATTGAAGCAAAAACTCAGTTTTGTTCATTCCTAGTCTTCATCTAACCACACACACACTGGGGTTAATTTACCAAAGGCAAATAGACTTTGCGACTCAATGCATGCTGGCTTAACAAAAACACCAGTGCTCTTGTTAGAAAAAAAAGCTAATTTTGAGTGTGTTTTTGTACTAGCATTTTTTTTCCTGCCAGAAAAACCCTCTCAAAACGCAAAACAGAAGTTTTTTTTTTCCTGCTTCTAAATGCTGAGCTTAAAAACACCTCTAGACTATGTGATGTGAATAGACACATTGGATAAGTTTAGTTGCTTCTACAGGCAAAATACTAAATTCTAGAAGCAACGTTTTCTAAAGCCAGTGTGCATGGAGCCTGCATGTACAGTTGCACTTGCAAGGGAATTTGCTCTAGAGCTTAGTAAATGAGGTGAAGCTTCATAAACAGCATTTTAGTCAGGGCCTGGACTGAGCAAAGCTAAAGGGCCAGCATGACTGGGGCGTGCAGATGAGGCGGAGCGTGTATTTGGGTGGGAGTATATGCAGAAAGTAAGGGGGTGGTTACTCACCTGATTGGAGTACGCAACCTGGAGGGGTGGTCTTGCCAGGTTTAGGAGGGGGGATGGGTCTTGTCGGGGGTCTTGTCGGAGGTCAGTCGGCGCTTGTGTCAGCACAGGGGTGGTTTCTCCCGCCCTCCCTCCCTGGAGTTTTTCGTGTTTTGTTTTGCTGTTTGGGTTATGGTTTGTTCTTTGTGTTTGTCCTGTTGTTTGTTTTTGTGTGGGTTCCTTGAGTTTGTTTCTTGCCTGGAAAGGCATTTGTGTCCTGAGGTGTTTGTCTGTTTTGTTTTGCCATGGCAGCCGGCAGGGATCGATGGGTCTTTTGAAGGCGGTGCTGGAGTGACAATTTGGTGGATTATGGGTTGGGCCCATATGGGTGTTCCTTCCTAATTATAAGATCACGTTGGTAATGTGGGAGTTTATTGGCTGTATCTGGGACTACGTAACTGTAGTATTGTCCCCGAGGCGGGTGTAGTAGAGGCTAGGGGCCTTTTCATTGGGTGTCAGATACAGCCGAGTTTTGGATGTGAGTAACGGTGCCTTCAAAGACCTTTGACCCGGTTGGGATTATCACTGTCAGTTATTATTTGAGTGTACTGTGAGAAGTGTTATGTTAAAGTTATGTTAAATAAATGGCTGCTATGGCCGGTTTTACACCAAAAGAGAGTCGCGAGTTTATTTAGGCGGGGAAGGTAGAAGGGTGGTGGTGGTTTTATGGATTAGGGGTAAGTATTAGCCTCGATATTCTGCATGTCCAACAGTCATGCTCACACATGATTGGATAGTGGAAGTCAGCAGAGCTTCCCCTCATTTACTAAGCCCTGGCGCAAATTCCCTTGCAGAGTGCAATTGTACTTGCAAAGTTCAAAGTCTATTTGCCTTTAGTAAATCAGCACCACTTAATCTCAAAGTCTACTGCAAAAATACTATGTACAGCATTACATGTATACAGTACATATAGATACATCTAATTATCTTTTTTTTCCCTCCTACAGATACCTATGGAAAGCTTTCTCTTTTGAACGCTGTGGGACAGGAATTGTCGTGCTGTAAGACATCAGTACGTAGGGGTCAACCAAACCCAGTCTACAAAGAAACGTTTATCTTCCAAGTTGCCCTGTTTCAGCTCACTGACGTCACGCTGATGATTTCAATATACAACCGGCGTACAATGAAAAGGAAGGAAATGATTGGATGGATTTCACTGGGTCAGAACAGCAGTGGAGAGGAGGAGCAAGTTCATTGGCTGGAAATGAAAGAGTCAAAAGGCCAGGAAGTCTGTCGATGGCACACACTGCTGGAAGCTTAATGAACCCTTCCTCTCTCTAGAATTTGTAGCATAAAAGGAAAGAAGTTCAACTTGTGCTGAATAATTGCCTTGATTACCTGTGGCATACCCTGTCACCATGTCAAATGGAGGCGTATATTTTTACTGCGCTATCATTTCTGGTATAAAGCTGTCATGACAGTTTTACACCATGTCAGATTCCACTACAGATATTACAGGAGCTGAATAGCACATTTCAACCTGAAGACTGCAGTCGGAGCACCTACCCAATTAAAGAAGAACTATACTAAGCACAATTCACATCTAATATGAGCACATCTCAAAACCCTAATGCTGTTTCAGAATGATAACCTTTTCTGTGGCCATTGTTCTTTCTAGCCGTTTATCTACTCTGTCTAATAGGGAGAAGAGCATCGATTTTGGTAACATTTTACTAAAGGAGAAACTCTGTTTCTCTCCTTGAGCTACTTAGATGAAATGTGTTTGAAAAAAACTTAAAAAAAAAAAAAGATCTACTCAACTAAAGGGATGTTTTTTGACACAACAGGTCCTGGATAGTTGATAGGAGCTTTTGCACCAATAGGAGTTATTTAAAGGTGAAGTTAGGTAAAAAAAACACTTTTTTTTTTCTATAAGTAGTGAAGTATGCCCCACAATGTGCAGGTGTCTGGATTTTGAACAAAACTTTACTGTAGGGATGCCCTGTCCTCTTCCTGCTGCTGTATAACCTGCTGTAGTATAATCATGAGCTTTTATCAAGAAAGGGAGAAAGGGGGCATGTTTCTGTTGGGTCACCTTTAGTGCAGTTGAGCCCGGAGATCGCAAGCTGTTAATCCCCACGACGCTAGAAGTTCAGCAGCAGGAAAAGGACAGGGCAGCCCTGCAATGAAGATTTCTACAGAATCCAGCAGCATACACATTCGTGGACATACTTTCTTACAGGTAAGTAATGTCACTAAAGCTGTAGATAACGTGTTGTTTTATCTAAACTTCGGCTTAAAAAAAAAAAAAAAAAGGCTACAGGTACACTTTAATTCAATCTTTCCTATTGACTGCAATGCATTTTGCCAAAATCTCTTGATTTTTTCTGGAATTTCTAAGAAATGGATACTCTCAGTTTTGCTTATGTCTACTGCCTGGAAAGATTGACATAAGCCTAGTAGAGTCATGTTATTTATGGATCTATGGTGTGTGGAGAAGGTGAAATTCCTATTTAATTTGATGCTTTATGCACCTTATTTTTCAGTCCTCATAGCTGTAACATTTATACACATTTGGAGTTGCAAAAATTAGGGCCTGATGTTACTATTCCTCCTCAGTTCTGGCTTGTGACACTAGTAGCAGCTTTCCTTAAAGCTGAGCTCTACCCAAACAGGGAAGCTCCACTTATTTGCCTCCTCCCCTCCTTTCACTGCCGCATCTGGAACTTTTTAGGGGGGGTACCTGGTTTTGACAGATGCCTGCTACCACTTCTCTGTGGTGAACTGAGCTGGAATTTCGCCCCCCCCCTCCTTCCCCCTGCAGACGTCTGGGACACGTCACAGGTCTCAGAAGACTGGGGGACCAATCTCAGGGTGCAGCACAACTTGCGCATGCGCAGCAGGAAACTGGTTGTGAAGCCTTAAGGCTTCACTTTCGGTTTCCCTCACTTGCAATGCTAGCGCCGGGAACCCAAAGGCTAGTGAAGAATTAGCCCAGATGATGATGGCACTGCACCCTGGACAGGCAAGTGTCCTTATATTAAAAACCAGCAGTTACAGTATTTGTAGCTGCTAACTTTTATTTTTTTTGGGGGTGGGGGGCCTGGACTTTCTTTTTTAAGCTGGCCTCACACCTTGTTTCTTTTTTCCATTCAGCCTGTAGGCGCTAAACAGTATGGATGGATGAGTTCCTGCTGAGATTTTGTATTTGGATGACCGTCAGCGGCAGTTGTCGGAATACCTAGAGACTGCATCTGATAGGATGCATCCACTGGAAGGCTAAAAAAAATCCTAGTAGGTTCCTTCAACAAAAGTCGACCAAACAATCAACTGTTGTCAACCACTCACTGAGCAAATTTCAGTTGGTTCATCAGGAACCAGTGAAAATTTGCTCAGTGTATGACCAACCTAACTGTTAGTGATGATGATGCATGGAGGGCAAGATCAGAGAGAGTGTGGTTCCCAAATTCCCAGTGACCTCATGCAGGTCAAATAGAATAAGGACAACTAATCCCTCACATTGTACTGCTCTACAGAAGTCAAGCTGCGAATACAGTAGTAGAAATGGGCATCTTTATATTTTTTAAACCTTTTTTTTTTTTAATGCTAACCATTGCAGCAAGAGTTAGAACGCCATGTGCTAGCGGCACATAAGAGAGTCGGCCCACCGCTCTCTCAAACACAGCATCTTCTGGGCTCACCAGTGGTCTGGTATGCCTTCCAGAACATTGTTACAGTCAAAAGTACCCTTGCTGTGAGCAGTGCTTTTGATTGTAGCATTGTTTGGAGGGCATGTCAGACCACTGGATAGCTAGGCTGCTGCATGTGTGTGAAAGCAAACAGCCAAACAGAGGAATTGGGGATCAAATTAAAAAAGTGTGCTGTTGGTGGGGCCTGACATTAGCCTCAATGCTTTTTCCTGCATGGCAAAAAGGTTTACTTTAAATTTGGGTGGTCCAAACATTTTTTTGTGCATATTTGACTTAGGGTTGGGAGTTAGAGACCTAAAGTATAATAAGACTGCTCCTGAATAGATGTACAGTCCATAAGTATTGTTACCTTAGGAAAGGAGGGTCATACTGGCAGAGTCACAAGGTAAAAATAAAGGAACAAAAAGCCTAAAAGAAGAAAAAAAAGAATCCAGCCAGCACAGATATGGATTGATAAACTGCAATATATTTAATGTTTTGCTCTTGGGTTTGCATAAACTTTAATGTTTGTAAAAATGAATATGAAACATGATTTTGTCATACTCCATCTAGTAATTTTTCTGGAGTGCTTGAAGAACTGAACTGACTATAGTATAGCTAGGCCTCCATCTTTGGAGTGGCCTTTAGCAGGTAAATCGTTTTCTCTCAGCTGCTATTTTTCACATCCACAAATCTAATAATTCCAGCCAAGAACTTCTGCTGTCTGCCTACTAGGACTGTGCAAAGAATGTATTGAAGGAATTCCCCAGAGACTAAGTAAGTGGGAATTCTTTCAATATCTTTTCTGCAAGAGCAGAGAGGGTACAGGCAATGGAAGAATACACAAAGTACCTTCTGGAACCAATTAAGTTCAACTTTTCTTTTTTACTTTGAATCTTTAAGACATTCTACTGTGACAGAGGTGGCAGTATATTCCACACTTTTTTACCCTGGAGGCTTCAACAAATACTTGGGTAAAAAGGTATAGTCAAAGTCATGCCCTTACTTTGACAAAACCTTTTGATTTTTTTGCATATGTAATAATTTCTAGCTAACCGCGCAATATGTTTCTTCTCATTCTGTACTCAACTGCAGCATCCACTATACACTATATAAGACATATATTCTTATATATATATATTCTTATAAAGTACTCCAGTTAACACACTGGGGTTGATTTTTCAAAGGCAAATAGATTGTGTACTTTGTACAGTGCAGTTTCACCAGAGCTTAGTAAATGAGCGTAGTGCCACCCTCATGAGGGGGTGCTGTGTTTCTAGGTCTCCCTAAACTCTGCACAGTTAGGCAACACACATTTTCCACACTTTCATCCATTGTCATTGAACATTCCATGAGCTTGGTTTTTGTTATTTTATTAGGGGAAATAATAGGGTAATAGGGATTATGGGATGCCAAACTTCCTTCCTATTTACAGAAACAGATCCTAGACTGTCCTTTTCCTTGAAAGCCGTCAGTCTTTGTGGATTAGTAGCAACAGTCCCTTACGGGAAAGAGACTTGCAGCCCCCCTCTGAAAATCAGCTTGACTTGTACACTACATGCAGAGATCTCTCCTCTCCCCTGTAGAGCTGCTCCCAGTGCCGCAGCCTGCAGACACTACCAGCCCTCCTGGCTGCTCTGAAGATCTCCCAGGACAAGGATGAAGAATTAAGCACAGCGCTGTCCTTTGAAATCTTGATGCATGTTACAGTCTCTCCCCTTGTGAGTCTCAGGGTGTGCTGAAGTACTTACTCTGTCCTCCTTGCTCCCACGACTCCCAGGCCTTGATCCTGTTCATGCTGTACTGCTGAATGGATCCTCTTGAGCCAGCCCGGATGCCAGCCCACCTAGACCTAAGGGACCCCTTCCAGGCTACCGATCGTCTCCTCAGCATTCCACCCTTAACCTGACTCCCCAGCCAGCCTGACTCTCTGCTATGTATGGGCTGGTCCACCACTCTACCAGGGCCTCCAAACCTGGGCATGGTTAGACTCCCTTAAACATGCAGATTAGGTCTCAACCGCTTCCGCCTACTGGCTTCTGAAAGGTTCCCATGGTCCTCCAGTACCAGGTGGACGTGATAGAGTCCCAACCTGTATAAACCATCCAGCTTGACCTGCAGTAACCCGCCCTTAATCACAGGCTCACATAGTTACAATGAGTCATACACAATAGATTTGCCTATACTATTCTAGTAGCACACTAGAGGGTGCTACATGAGGTAACGCTTCACTTTGCAAAGAATACCCAATCACATGCAAGGAAAATAAAAAAACAGCATTTTTGCTTGCATATATAATTGGATGATGGAAGTCAGCAGAGCTTCTTCTCATTTAATAAGCTCTGGAGAAACTGCACTTGCAGCGTGCAGTTGCACTTTGCAAAGTGCACAGTCTATTTTCCTTTAGTAAATCAAATCCTATGTTTTTGGTTTCAGGATCAGGGGTCATAAGTCACCTGAATTGGTGACTTAACAGGAGGTAAAGACACTTAAAGGCGATACTAACAGCAAGAAGAACCTGAAAGGGGTTCCAACTCTCCATTACACTATCCAAAACAGTCAAAAAAGGTTTGACTGGAGTTACAATTGAGACCTGTCCTCCATTAGGTCTTCTACCTATGAACTTTGATAT